GGTCTGGCTGTTAAACACAGAGGCAAAGAAGGCCTCTGTCACAGAGGGCACAAGTGGCTTACCTGCATAAGGAGTCGAAGAGGTTTTCCATCCTGCTGCTCAAGGACTCTGAACTTCACACCAGCTGAAAAGAAACAAAACAAGGAAACCAAATCCATGCTGGAGAAAAGCCCATGCCATTTGCTGTTCAGCTCTGTTGGCTGAGCATCGATTTCCTAGAAACGGAGTCTTCAACCTTTCTTGATTTGTGAACCCTTACACATTTTCAACAGGAAGCACAGATTCTCTCTATAGTGGTTTTAAACGTAATGACAAATGATGCGTTTCTTTTAGCTCCATTAAAAGCAGCCCTCTGACTTCCAGCTTGAAAACGCAGTCCTAAAGAAAGTACAAAGCCTAGAGATCAGACAGCCAGACCAGATGATGACAAAGGGACTGGAAAAATCTTTCTCTTTCCCCAAAATTCCATCAGAATGGGAACTCCGTGTTAACAGCAGGCAGAGAACTCACCTTTGTGTAAGAACTCACATGTGTGCTCATGTGGATACAGCACATATGCAAATCTCTCCTTTCAGACTAAGGGAGGAAAGTGGCTGGCCTGGAGGCATTAAAGACATTTCAAAGCAATCACTGCCTATTAATCCCAGCATTCATATGTTTTTAACACACTACTAACCCCGCCAAACCTGCCACTTTTATATTTCCTCTTGGACTTGCTACATTCCCAATACTTTAAAGATAAATAGGGAAGATTTTGCATTCCAACAGTGACATACTGCACATGAACATTTAACGCAATGTTTCAAACGAAGGTAACAACTAAGACTAGAGTGGCATTTTTCTTTGAAAGATCTCAAATCACTTCACAGAAATAAAGCCAATCCATCTTCTGCAAACCTGTACCAGCCAAGTGTGCCCCTATTATTCTTTTCTACAGGTAAGAAGATGAGGCAAGAAAAATGAAATGATCTTGCCACAGATCAAACAGTGACTCAGGAGTACAAATAGAAATAAAACTCTTCATCTACGTAAGCTCCATCACTAGATACTATTATCTATGTGACTCTTACATATTTAAAAAAAAAAAACATTTTTGCTTTGAAATAATTTGAATTAATTAAAATTACACAGTTTACTCCTTCTGGGAGAGAATGCTCTTGTCTAGCAGACAAGTCTGGTTTAAAGTGTCTCCCCAAACCATAAAACCTTTTTTATATCAGAGTGGAAGGATTTATATGTGTTTTGCTGGGTTATATGGAAACATGGGCTTCCCCAATGGCTTCAAAAAGATATTTGAGTACCCTGGGTCTCAATAAGCAAATTTGCTGGATGACAAAAAGCATTCAACATTATTCATTGAGTTTTGGCTACCAGTAAGTGTCTAAGCCATTCCAGAAACTGCTTTTCAGGCAGGCAATTTGTCAGAGGGAGAGAAAAACAAGTGGGCACTGAAGTTTCAGGTACGTGGTCAAGTACTCTGGAGCCTCACCCTAGGAACAGTCCATTAGACCAGAAAATGCTGTTTCTGTAGGTCATGGCCACACATTTCCCTTCTACAGCTGCAAGCCAACAATCTCTTAGGTTATTTAACTGTTCAAGAGTCTTAAATTTTTAAGAAAATACATGCACAAAAAGGCTGCAAATTTGTTTTAGAATGACCTATAGATTACTACAACGCTCAAGAGTCAGCAATTCACTTCACAGAGAAAGCAGGAGGCTCAGTCTACTGCAGATCACTCTAGCAGAGAAGAACCCTAAACTATTCCATGATTGCCAGTCAACTCCAGAGCTTAGTGTTCTGCTTTTTCTGTACACCAGCATCACCGACGGCACAAGAGAGGTCAGGACATGAACCCATTTGCTTTTTTTCATATGACAGTGCACTAAAGCAAACTCACTGCTTCTTTGTATTCCAGTAATCATGGAGACACCACTACGACAGGTCCTACAGAACCATGACAAAACTTGCCCCAAAGTTTGTGATGTGAATATCTATGTATTGGGCAAGAGGGAAAGAGAAGTACAGAGAAAATAAACCGATCTGTGCACAATCAAACAGCATGTTGGTAACCTGGATGTGGGCAGAGTCCGAGATCCCTGGACCTCACTGCTATGCTTTACTTCACACTCTAAATCAACATCACAGTGTACCCATCCCAACCAAGGTGGCAACCCTTGAGCTCACACTGGGTGGACAGAACTCTTGCAGAGAGGACACCAGCTTTGATATATTTGCAAAAGGCTTTTTAAAGTCTGAAGTATTTCACTTCTGATGTGTGGAAAGAAAATATGGATTTCGTTTCTGGTGTGTGCATGGTTCTTTCATCTATCCTGGCCCAGGCTTCATCAACATAATACTTTGTCAACTAGAAACTAAGTCAAAGAACTTGGAGGCCAGATGCCATGACTGAACTGAACTGAACTTAACCACTGCACTAAACCCTTGCTGACAGGAAAAGCTATCCATTCAGGTTGGTAGAGTCATCTTTATGGTGCCTGTAAAATCAGCTGCCATAACATGCCAGAGCATGTCTTACCCAAGTTCTGAGTATGAAAAGGGAGGCAAACCTAACCAGTGAGAACATTAAGTGATGTGTACTCTCTATAGTCCTTTGAATTTGATTCAACTGCTCCATCTGTTACCACTCCCATGACATGTTTTTGTGCTGGGGTAGGAACACAGGCTGCAGAAATTCTCAGAGATGCCTCTTCATCTTGCAGGCAGCATGGCATTGCAGTGTTCTCTTTCTTAAAATGTTTAAGAGGAGCAAACAAATAGCCAACAAAGAAAGTAAGTCAGGTAACAAACTCAACTGAGAAGACAACCCTCTGCCTGGGTTATTACCCTGCTTATTACCCTGCAGAAGGTAGCTGGCTGAACAAAACTGAGGAGAAGTAACCTCAGACTGATAGGAATTTATGGCCTCATCTCTCAGTGGCAACACATTCCTTCTACCATATGACCTGCTGTTTACTGGGTCAGTTTTCTTCAGCAGCATCTCCTGTTCTCCAAAGACAGCCCTGAAGGGTTAAGAAGTTTCTGCCAGGAAATTCATAGGAACCTGCTGAAGGCACACATGGAAAAGCAACAGAGTTGGTAACATGGCTCAGCTTTACCTTCCCAAAATCGAGCCTGGCACTACTCCAACAAACAAAGCTGTTATCGGTTGCCTCAAGCTTCCTTTGCATTTGATAACTAGCCTTGGTTTAGTGATGATCAAGCTCTTTCTCATATTTAAAATTCCTATGCTCTTCAAATGGATGGGAGATAATAATTTAGATCTGCTCAATTTTAACTAGATTAACCATAGCTGTTGACAGTTAAACCCATTTCAGAATGACCCTTTAGTCTGATGCCAACCATAGTTGATGGTTACCAAAACTGGAAAAACAATTACTAGTTTCAAAATGGTGGCAGATTAGTCTCAAAAAGGGAACGATTATCTGAAATCTGCCCAGAGCTCTGAAATTAATCCAAACACCTCAGATCAGGACATCAGTTAGTCAAGTCAGCACAGACCTGAAGCAGCTCCATTGATTCACAGCCAGTGTAGAACCAGCCCTTTGAAACAGCAAATGTTCCAAGTATTTTTGTAATTTTTGTAATTTGGCTTGTTTCAGAGCCCAAAACCGCAAGGTTAACAGCTTGTTTAACTCTCAGAAGTTTTACCTGACCTGGCACACTAGAACTGGAATCAAAAGATGAACTCTTTTATACGGTGCTTGTTTGGATGTCACTTTTAGTTGCCACAAGCTTTGTAAAGGAGCTCCTGATTCTGCTTCAGCACCAAATTTCTTTCCATTGACATTCTCATCCTGCAGTAATTGGTTAACAGTATGGACAACTGCATGACTCGAGCCTTAGGTTCTTCCCTGCATCTTTTTTATTCAGAAGCTACCCATCGCATCAAAATTAAATGCATAATACACAATTCTTGAACTTCTGCATGTGCTGTGCTGAAGGACTTACCTGCGAGTCTGTAGGACCTGCAGAGCCGAAGGATGATTGAATAAAGAGGCAGAGAGTCAATCAGGTCAACCAGCAAGTGTATTAGGCCTTGCACAATCACCACCAGCAAACGGAGCTACAGAGAAACAGTTTAATAAGAAAATCTTGGAGAAACCGGAGATGCAACACTTGCAAATTCATGAGCTGATGTGCAATCTGACATTGTTGTATACTAAGCTAAAGCCTCCCAAAGTGGGTTTGATGCCTAGAAGTGCTTGGCTTCCAGAACCTGTGTGAGGTTCCTTGACAATCTTAGCTTAAGTGTGTAACTGAAATGAAGCCCCTACAGTTGTAGAGGCTGTAACCTGCAAGGATGAGAGCTATTCCGCTTTCAATGGTCATAGCCTAAAAGGGAGAATTCAGGCTTCCATCTCTAGTAAACTTCATCACTGTGTATCAGTGAACGTAAATTTTTCTCTCTCCAAGAGTGAACTGAAGTAGCTTATTTCTGCCTGAAGAAACTGCATGTAGAGCATCTAAGCAAGAGCAAAGCAGTCAGAAATGAGTTTCCTGCTCCGTGTTTTCTGTCCCCTGATTAAAGCACCTCCTTTTGTCAGACTCGATTTATTTTTGCTGCCAAGCTCATCTGAAAAGATAGGGCTCAAAAAAGATGTTGAAACCATGTGATGGCCACTGTGGAAAATTTTGCTCCAGGCAGGCCTCAGAGAGGACTGGTCATATTGGGGGAAGAAAAGAAAAATAAAGAAGTCCAACCCTCTGAGCAAAGTCTGGTTGAAAGCATTTAACACAGCAAGTTAATTTCCTGAAAAAAAAGTTCTGGATCAAACTACAGGGGCTGTCACCCCAGACATGGGATGGAAAGATAAAAAATAACTTCTGAGTGAAAGAGAGGGGAACAGCTTGTTCCGCTGACTGGGATTTGCTGGGAATTCCCTTTGGAGAAACATAAACACGTATCCTGAATTCCACTTGCTTGGCCTACATGGGCTGTGTGAGACCCTTCCTGGGACATTTAGACAAGTCTTATATTTTCTTTGTGGATGACAGTAAATTACTAGGAAACCTTTTTTTAATATCTCAGACAGAAGACAGTATATGACTAGCTTCAAGGGTTAAATCTTACCAGGGTAAACACCAAATAATACAGTGCAGTTGTAGGCAGGAGGAACAGCAGGATTGTAAATAGCAAAGTGCCAATAAATAACTAGGGGAAAAAAGAAACACAAACAATCATTAGCAGAGCAATGGCAAAATAAAATAAAATAAAAATAAAAGAATAGGAAACTGTGAGACAGGGAAAGTTTGAAAGACTCCTTAATGTGTTTTTTTAGTCCATATGTGAATAATGCTGTTACCTCGAATATTTTCAGTACTACCTCTCTCACTGGGCCTTTTTAGAAAGCTCCCTGTAATAGGACTATGTTTGGAAAGATAAATAAGCTGGATCCTGACAGCATTTTTTCCTTTATAGACAATAGTCAAGATTTCCTATTTCAAGCCAGCTTCCTTATGAAACAAGACTTACATGATCATGCTGTTTGTCCACCCGCTATCCCCACAAATTTTAAAGCCATTGGTCAGTTTTTACCAGGAAAATGTGAAAGGGTACAAAGAAGTAGAAATTTTGTAGGGAATTTTGTAGAGAATTGAGAAGTATTTTTGTTCCTCCTTGTTTTAGCAGAACAAACAGCTGGGGAAAAGCTGACAAAATTTGGTTGATAAACATTCCCAACAGCAGCAGTCAGGTGGTCAGTCCAGCCACAGAACTTCTGCCTCTTGCTCGGTTGGAAACTGGGAGAGACAAAGAAGCTGGAGTTACTGGGGTGGGGGGAGCAATAGTCAGAGGATGAAGGAAAAAAATCCATAGGAAAGCAGGTGTCATTAGCTCCACTGCCTACAGAAAAAGTTATTTTTATTCTGGGCCAGCCCAGTTGGTGTAAGTCTAACTAATTCCAACTGGGAGAAATGCAGATTTATGACAAATAGGGATCTGACTCTTCAATTTTCAGTTACCACTTCCAGAACAGAGAGGTCACAGGAACACAGGGCACTGCCATTTCTGCAAAAAGAGATCATGGCCATGGTATATTATGAGAGAAAATAACCCAGACGGTCCTGTCACAGAGGTAGATCAACAGCCCAGCTTTACGCATGTCACCAGAAATAGATCATAACCCAACCCATTCTCTTCACAGCAGTTGTTTCTCTCCTCCTCTGTCACTCCACTGCAGTTGCTTAACATCTCCAAAAGTCTTTTAAGGTCTGCTTTGAATGTCTCTTCCCACCCAGGCCAACGACATAATTCCCACTGGCCTCTGGAGCAGCACGATGAAGCCTGAAGTGCCAAACCAATTCTCCTCAAAGTACACAGGGACCGAGTGCTGACACAAACCGCCTTCCTGGCACAGAGGCTCTTACTTTTCCAAAGAAACAGAAAAATAGCTCCTCCAGTGTGGTGTAAGAAGCTCAAGGTTGTCTGTTGCAATGTAGAGAGAGGCACTGGCCCTGGAAGTTACCAAATATTATTGTACTATTTTAGTGATGTTTGCAACTGCCAGCGTGAACTGCTGAACTTTTGCATGACATTTTGGAATTAAAAAGAGGCTACAGCATCTGACAAAAAACTGCCTCTGCTGCTTGAGTGAGAATGTGTGGGCCAGGCTCCAGCACAACGTGAATGAAACAGGGCCTTTTAATAGAAAAACTGGCACGTCTGTTACTGTGGCAACACTGCTGGGCACCACTTTTCATATTGCCTTCCTCCCCCATACCCACTCCCATGCTCCAGGAGCTGCGAGCATCTGCAGCACCCACTGAAGTTCACCAGGGTGCCTTGCAGGTGCTCAGCACTTGCCAGAATTAGGCCCCCTGAACATGCAGAGAAGTGAACGGGTGCTGCAGAGAGCAGAGTCCAAGCATTTGTTTGAAGAGCCACGGATGCAGAGTGCCAGGGCATGCACTTGTTCTGGGCACCACAAAGCCTCCTGTGGCTTCTGTCTCAATATTAGTCGAAGCAGGATAGGATTGTATCGCCCATGGGCAGCGTCCTGCCCTGAGCCCTGGGTGCTGCAGCACTACCTGGTCCAAGTCATAGGAGCAGGAATCCACCCGCTGCCGGAGGACATTCCACTTCTTCCCACGGAACAAGCGCCAGAGAGATGACAGGCCGTAAATCTTCAGGCAGTAGAGCCTGAGCAAAGAGAATATGCTGTGCATCAGAGTTGCAAGTTCCTGAGCTTCAACACAAAACAGCTGTCATCATTACACCCCTGTGCCCACTCACTTACCAGTGCCACAGAACTCAGGGAGGCAAAAGAAATCAGCCCGAGAATAACACAGATAAAATACTAATTGCTCAGTCAACCATATCTGGGCTGGCCCGTGGCACAGTCAAAGCAGGCTACTGCAGACAGCTCTGGACCACTGGAGGGCAATGGCCACGCTATGCACCGGAGCTGCAGCAATGCTCTTGATTTCTGCTCCTGTTGGTGAAGAGGCTGGCATATGGGAAGTGGCAAGTGATGCTGGAGGGTGGCTCCTATGAGCAGCAGCAATCACCAGCTCCATGCCACCACCTTTTCTGCAGCAAAAGAAGCAGCAAACTTATTCCCTCAAGCTCATCTCTGTCTCTCCAGTTTAGATCTGCCCTGTTCCCCTTGCTTCACATGCCTTCCACGGCAGGAGTGGCCAAGGTCTTACCCCTCACACTTGAGTCAATACAATTCAATTTTGCCTCTGCAGCACAGAGAGGCAAGGGAGATGACTGGAGCCCCTGCACCTTCTTTAGTAAACCACAGCTTCAAACATCCGTAAGAGTGGGAAGAGATCAACTAAATGGCTGGTGACACTCCTACTGCATCCTTTCCTTAGGCTTTCGTAACTTGGTGCTGTGACACTTGGAGCTACTTCCCTCCCAGAAAAATGGCAATGGTGAGTGAAGTTTGGGGTGATAAGGGGTGAGAAATAGACACCCCTATGGAATAACATAGAGGAAGATAGAGCTCCTGGGATGAAGAAGAGCCCTGGGCAGCAGCGTCCAACATACAGGGACGTAAAGAAGGGGGACACAGCCAATCTGTGGGGCAGAACAGAACCTGAGAAAGCCTGAGCTACAAAAGCCAGACTGGTTAACCAGCCTAGTTAAGGCATGGAGGCTGCTCAGATTTCAAGGCAGTGTTGTGAAAGCAGAGGCAAGCATTCTTATCCAAGAGAAGAATCTTGGATACCAATGAGGAACACCAACTGCTTCAAGAAACTGGCAGAGTGCCCCCAGACTGGCAGGCACAGCTCGGTGCACTAATCCGTAGGCAGGAGAGTGCCCAGGACAACTCCTCCAGGTTGCTGGTACACACCTGCCCCATGGCTCTGACTCAGGTCACACACTCCCCTGCACACTCTGACATAGCACCAAGTGGGTGTTCCTGCTGTAGCACCTGCCCCACCTTCCCTGGCTGCCTGCACACACATGCCCGCTCTTGTTTCACCACACAGTTTGTTTCAGAAGGGGATCTCAGGCTTCACCGGCACCTGAACCAGCAAATTCTTCTGCCAGCTGCAGGAACGCAAGGTGTTGTGGTAGCTGTGTTGATGTGAGTGACTGCTATCCCTTTCTGACTCTCCACAGGGAGCAACTGGCACAGCAGGGGCATTTTGGTGCCAGTGGCAAGATAAAATATAGCTGCTCTGTACTTCTAACAAGCAGCCAAGGCAGGTATACTGGCTCCCTGCAGCTCAAGGGAAAGGCAATCAGCTGAGAAAATGCTTTTCCTATTTCCACTCTGCACAATTAGGAGGAGCAAGGCCACTCCTCACAGCCCAAAACAGAAACTCCAGTAATTAGAGGTGTTGGGAAGAGACTCCTCATTACTGACATTACTGATTTCAAGCATAAGCCCTATGCTCACAACAGAATTGATTCGTAAACCATATCTCAATATTTCTAATCATCCCCTAAATTACCCATAACTGAAGTTCTGCTATTTCTTCTGTTGTTTGCAATGTAAAGCCCTCAGCCTGGGGAGGAACAATGACCATTCTGTACTTTATAAGCCAAAAGTTTCTTTTTATTACCTTGTGTCTCATCTCCTTGGCAAGAGCAGCTATTCTCCAGTGGCCTGTGTGATGCCTTGCTGCAGCATATGTTAATGCAGGGCAGGAACAGAGCACGTTGGTGAGCACCATTTGCACAGTAACCCTGACGTGCCCTGGATGTGCCCCAAAGCCTTCTGCACTCCCACACACTCCCTCAGAGCCTCTGCCTGGCTCTCAGGCCATGGGGCCCTCCAGTAGGCTCAGACAATGACACCAGGATGGTGTCACAGCCATGTGACAAACCCACCAGCTCTGCTCCACAATGCAGACAAGAACCTCTGAAGTAGGGCAGAGGCAGGGACTTTGGGGCTTCTCCAGAGGTACAAGAGTTCCCCTTTCCTTCTCCTCTCCTCCAGTTCCTCTCAAAACTACTGGGTAGGCTGCAAGTGAAAAGACTATGATAAGGTTGAACCAAAGGGACAGGGGGAACTGCTTTCTTGCCCTCTGCCTATCATGTAGTTTTATTTTTCAAGGTCACTACCACAATAAATATTTAAATGCAAGAGAACTGAAAGATAGGTTGCTTGTACTGCTGCAGCCATCACTTCTACATGCATAAAAGAATGCAATAAATTAACTGCTGGCTAAATTGTGAATTCAAGAGAACTATGCCAGAATTGAATGCTCCACAAATTAACCATGTGCCCTGAGCGTTCAGTGGCCCTTCTCTCCAAACATACCCAAGACATAACCAAGAGAGATCAACTCACCTGGCTCCGTAGACATAGAAGCAGTAGATATGGAAAGTCAGAAGGGCAATGATGTCAGAGAGGATGCAGAGAGCCACAGTCAGGCCCAGACAAGCCGACAGACCGACATACCAGAGGATCATCTCAATGAATGGGGACATCAAGTGAATGTAGCCTAGTGGACATTGCAGAGTGGCAGTATTTGACTGAGACATCTTCCTATTGACGCTCTCAAAAGACTGATTATCTGTGCCCTAGAACATTGCTCCAGAAATCATAGCCACAAAAACATGGAAGTAAACTGGAAAACTCCTTTAGGTGCCATCTTCTGTTTAGGAGTGCCAACAAAAACTCTCTTTCCCCCTAGGTTTGTCCAGGTGTGGCAGCTCTGTGAGGAAGGGAGGACATGCTCAGCTTAAACAGAGCACCCACCTTGCTCCACAGGTTATTTGCTTTTCTAGATTTGTGTCCAGGTTCCTAATTACATTTTTAACTGCACACATCAAGCTCTACTGCAACTATTCCCCTTTTCTTGCTATTCACACAAAAGCCATCCCATATGGCTTTTGTAAAATAAAACAGTGGGGAGGCACAGAGTCTCTTCCATCACTAAAGTGGAGCAAAGTCACAGAAACGAGACCATACTTGATTGGTGAGCAGAGTAAATCAGTGTAATAAATGATGAGTTCACATCCATCATGACTATACTCCTTCATCAAGACACTTATCAAGGATAACAGGGGTGTGTTGAAATAACAAAATTGCACTAAGCTGAAGTTACTGACAAGACACACTTTGCATTTGTATCCCAAGAGCACACTTCTCATCCCTATCCTACCAGCTGCCTTTTACAGGGCAAAGACTACGAAAGCCTACATAACACCTAAAGCCTTCCCTTGGACACTCACCACTAATGGCACCAAGTAAATAAGCTCCATCACGATTTGCACTTCTTGCAAAGCATCAATACAAGCACTTTATTTAATATACATGACTTCCTTGTGTGGGAATCCAACTTTGGCTTGAGTTCCCACAGCAGAAAGACTCACAGACAAGTTTGTACTTGCAGTAGTGCATATTGATTCATTATTCACCTCTAGGCAAACATTAAACACTCAGGAGGGAAGAGATGAAAAGGGAGGCTGAAAAGTTAAACAATTGCACTTACTAATCCAAAGATGGATGTGGTAAAGGAAGAAGCGTCCCAAAACCTGATCCAAAGCTCGGTTCATTTTCAGTCCAGCTGGTGCTCCCATTAGCCACTGGAGCAGGTCCTGGAGCTCCTCAGCTACATGCTACAAACACATGGAAGGAAGGCACCTGAGATAAAAGACTGCTACCACACTGAACAGGTGCAGTGTACTGCACGTGCTGCCCCCCTGCCCAAGTATTCTTACCACACCCTTCAAACCAATGGAAAAAAACCCATCCAAACTACTACTTTACAGACAACTAATTAAATTCATTAAATCAGAAATGCACCTTTATTGGAAAATTACTCTTTACTGAGCCCAAACATAATAGTAGAGAGGAAGTCGAACTGCTTAAATGTGGAACAGTGCTGGGAACACAAACCTAGTGTTTGTTCATGGCCATCTTGGGTAGACTTACACAGTATGATTTCTTGGTGTAATAAGAGTTCTTGAAATAGGTGGCAAATGCTGGTGCACAAATTGACTTCTTTGGACAGTCAACTGAAAAGTCAGAACTGAGCAAGTAATCTAACTATGGGGAAGGCTGTCAGGATTTTAAAAGGGGCAAGATGGCAGTGCACTCATGGGCAATAAAAAGTGAATTTTTACAAATAACCTGTATGTGTTTACAGCAGGATAGAAAACACAATTATATATATGTATTTCATACATAAACAAACTTTCTTGATACTCTGCAGTGTACTAGGCAAGATTAACCATGCTACATAGCACTGATCTTGCCTACCACTATTGTGTCTCTGCAGGCTTCATGGAGAGATACTCATGGCATTCCAGTAAAAAAGAAGCCCTCTGAATCACTGAAGAAAAAGCCTAATGGAGCTCATTCCCAAATCAGTGAGGGCTTTGACTCACAGTTTCTGGTGATGTAATCCCAGGCTGATGTTATTTACTGATTTTCTCTCTCCACCCCACTACTCTGCCAGAGGTCCCCCTTGCAGCTGACGGGGCAGAAGATGGGGTGGCTCTGCTCCTCAGCAGTTTGCACCTGACCTACTCACCTAAGCCGAAATCAGTGGTGAAGTCCATCTACAAGGCTGTGAATTGAGGTAGCTGAGAGTGGTAACCTCCAGCAAACAGGTGGGGAACATACCTGGAATAAGTGCCTTCTCACACTGTCCCACATGAACAGAGATTGGGAGTAAAATCCCACTTATAGTCAAGTCCATGCATGCAAACTGCACTGCAAATTGTGCATGTGAAGAAGAATCAAGACATGCTACCTGAAGCTGATGCACTGTAGCCTACTCCCCCCATCATTCGTATGAATAATTTCCCTAAGGGGAAATGATTTCCAAGAATGATTCCATTTTATTAACCAACAGGATCCTTGCAAAATGAGTTTGTAAATTCACTTTTTGTAAATATTTACTTTTAGCGTAGTGGCCAAATTAAGAGCTCCACCTTCAACTTATCCAAAAGGAATGCCTTGTTATTTCATTCATTTTCCCTCTGTCCCTTAAAATATCTCACTGGAAGTCAGAACTGATTTGAACCCATGGATCTTACCTCTGTGGCTGAGAAGTGTTAGCTACTTTATAAATAGAGTGGTTTTAATATTTTAAGTGTTGGACTGGTAACTTAGAAAAAGCATTTGGGGATTTTAATGAAATATTTAAATGCTTGAGAGCAGTTCTTCAGCAAGGCTGTTTTTCAGCACTGAATACTTCTGGAGGCTGTCAGTCCCAGAGGTGCTACTAAATTCTGACAGGGGCACGTAGCTCTGGGAAGGTGCCCTAGCTTGCTGTTACTTAGCTGGACAACACATTTCAAAACACAGTCCTAAGGCATAACCTTGCAGGCCTGTTTTCCAGCCAGATATTTTAGGACTGATCAATAGCAAGCAGAATCAGAAAAGGTGACTGGAGTCCAATTCTCCTGTTGCAGTCATGAATACTGAATGTAGCCAGTATTAATAAATAAGATACAATGAATTGGAAGTGTTTCATAAAGGGGTGTAGGGACACTACCAAACTGGAGACTAAAGCTAACATGGTTTAGATGAGATCACTGTGGAAATATTTTCTTTACTGTCATGCTCTTCTTTCTATTCTCCATATGCAGCGGGTGTCATGGTGATGTGACATTGATGGAGAAGGATACACAGTGCACTGCAGGTGGGCACTGTGGGCACCAGGAAGCACAGTGAAAATTTCCCGAGCAGAGTATCTAGTGCAAGTCAGAGCACGCAGAGCCAAAGCACTCCCCACCAGACACACTTGCCCTGTGTCTGTTGCAGGTGTTTGGGGCTCTAAGTTATATTTTACAAATTAACATCTAAGAATATTTTCCAGGAAGTGTCCTCTCTGCTTGCTTTGTTTATGGATTAGCAGAATATGACTGAATAGCAACTTACATCCAATTATCTATAAGCCCCAGTAATGTTTTTGGAGGCATGATCTATGACAAATATTTAACTGTTTCAAAGAGATTACAGCTTAAGAAAAAGAGACATTAGCAAGGATGAAAGAGGTGAAGGAGAAAAAAAAAAAAAAAGATGACTGTTTATAAACAGTTCTTTTTAAAACAGACAAAAGTAGCACTTTGAATTGGGTATTTTTGAAAGAAGGCTGTCGTGTGGAAGGCAAAACCAAGGACAACCATTGGGAAGCCTGGCAGGAACAAGAGGAAGGAGGGTAGGATTTGTGAGGGCACCTACAGAGATAAGATTATTCACATTTTCCTTTCTTGGATTTGAAAGCCTGTTCCAAAAATCAGTCCTTCGTATTGCATACAGCTACTCACCAGTTACTCCCTAGGTGTCTCTGAATCACATCTGCCTCATTTACTGACAAAAGCAACTTGTTATTACAGTCAGTGCAGTGCAGCTCATCAAGCTGTGAAAGTGGGAGCTGCAGTCAATGATGTCTTGTGCATCATCAACAACTGCTAGCTAAGTGCTGATTTGAGAAACATTTTATCAGGGGATGATGAATGATGGCTAGGGAACACGGCTTGATCCTCACGTCAGCAGGCTGAGCTTGTGACCCTGGCAGTTGTTGAGAGCTAAAATAACCTACCCGCATCTGCTTCCTTCCAGAGAGACGTTTGCTAGGAAAAAAACCGAGCACTGCATCCAGGCCCCACAGAGCTATGATTTTGTCAATATTAAAATCAATCAATCAAACCAATAAGGTTACACGTTATATAAGGTTAGTTTGTCAATATTAAAATCAATCAAATCAATAAGGCTAAAATAAGGTTATCAATATAACCGTATAAA